CGATCAATTCAAATTTTTCATTTTGTTTCCCTTGGCACAGATACATGTCATTTGTGGCTGAATATGACAACATTTGACAATATCATTCATAAATGGAGTAAAATGATTATTAGAGTTCAGTAAACTAAATGAATGAATAAATGAAAGACAACCAGACTACCTAGTCCCTCACCCACACAAAGCATTCGTGAGGGACGTTAATCAATAAATTTAATTAGACCATGTGGACAAATTATTAATAGGTGGAGTAGGATGCATCCATGCTTGAAGGCTTCATTTTGAATTTTGTATTTTTACTTTTATGTAACTGATGTAACTCAAAATTAGTTAGTCAAATCAACTGTCTCTTCATACAATGATGGCTCATGCTCACTCCTTCAATGTTTACATGCACCTACTTAATATGCAAATGATAACAAAAATAATGATTGAAAAATATGTCATCACAAGCAGAGTATAGCTTGTTAATATATGTATTAATTAATTGGGGCAAGCAAAAGCGAGCTCCACATAGTCGAGTCGAGTATGTCTGTCTGTTTGTACACGTACGTCACTCCTATTTATGCGTTTATAAAAAAATAACAATTACACATTTTAAAATGATAATTTTGATAATTACGGTACCACGTGCAAAAACAAAGAAATCACTGGACAAGAGGAGTTCAAGAGTATTAAAAAAAACAAGAGAAGCTGAAGCTTAAAGCTTGAGTAATTCACAAGAAGATGCTTGTGAAGCTCGTCGACTTCTTCGTAATGAGCGTGAGAAGGAGCAAGACTGAGGAGGAGAAAAGAGCGAGGAGGTCCAGTAGAAATGCTAGAGATAGGTTTTTTCGCACTCAAAGACAACAAATGGAGTCTCCTTCTGGCTTCTGAGACCAACTATCTTTCATCCTAGATCTATATAACTGCAAAGATTCTTTACTCAAAGCTAGAAGCTATGAAATTCCTTCCATGCAAATTCTGCATTAGTGTATTGACATCATATTCACATCAGTCAACATTCAAGGTTTAATAGCCACTACATCATTGTCTATATAAACATTGTATATTGCTAATCAAAATGTTAATCGTTTTGCTCGCCCCTTAATGTTTTACATTCGCCTAGTAAATACTTACTTGTTGATAAATTTAATAAATTCTGCTCATTAGTACGAATACGACCCCTACCAATATGAATATACTGATACTGTGATTGGTATGTAGTGGGTGTAGAACCATTCCCTCCTATCATAAATAGGTATTCTGTACCCATAGACTCCATACACACCATACCACCAAACGCTCTCTTCATTACAGCATCACTGGTTGGTATTATATTACTCCATTCATATGTTAGACTGTTAAATGAGTTCACGTCATTATGAAAGCACATTTCATCTCCACATTTACCACCAAAAAAGAAGATGTCATTGTTTCTGGTAGTACAAAAGTATCCTATAGCTCCTAGAGGAGGTGACGTTCCTCTGGTCACATGAGAGGACCAAAGACCAGTCCTAAACTCCAGTCTATCAATGGTGGACAATAATTTCCTCTTTTGTGGGGAATCATGAACAAGAGGTAAGTTAGGCCTATCCCCTCCCCACAGGAACACTGATTCTCCTACTACAGGAGCTGAGTGTCCTGATATCCCTCCCAGTTGATAGATACCTGTAAAATACAAACATGATGAGAAAGAGGAGGAAGAAAACAGAAACTCACCTTTAGACATTGTTTGTCAAGAATGTTGATTAACCAGCCACACCCATGATAACAATATTCATTTAATGAATATTGTATACTCATAATCACCCACACCCATATCACCTTCTAAATTAAATCCAATCACTGCCAACATTATAACAATAAGTACAGTAATTATTAGTTGGTTGTATGTCAAGGAATACATCAGGTTAAAACATGTCTTCTTTGCTTGCTGATGAGGTGATGGTCCTGCTATTGAATGCATTGGAATATATTCTTCTTAGTGAGTTAGTGGTGAGTCCAATTAATAATAATTGGTAGTTGGTGCTCTCTTGGTGATTATGATAAAAGGTACTTGAGCTAGTACTTACAAGAAATGTACTCACAAACTAACCCTCAGGTATAATAGTAATACAAAATATTACAATCACTGAAAAGAATTCAAGTTTTATTATTATTATTATTATTAATGTTAATGCATTATAGCAAACATGACAAACAATATCTTAACTGGAATTATTAGAGATTTTATATTACATGAGAGTTTTGTAGTCAGTACTTGTAACAAAGAGACTAAACTCAAGTGTAGATTGCATTATTCATTACAAGTCAAATATCACCTACTGGACACAACAATAAATAAAATAATGACAATTACTTTTTATACTATAGTAAACTCATCAAACTATACCTCATAGTATAACTTCATACACTGTAGCCTTCTTGTCTCCAGATCCAGTAACAATAAAACGATCGTCAACTGATATGTCACAGCTTAAAACACTACTGCTTTCAGACATCTGTATGTATAGGATACAATCATTATTTCATTGTGCATTAATGTATAATTATAAATAAGACTACACACACATAATAATAGTAACAAGTACAAATACCACTGTACAGTTAATGTTAATAATAATGGACTATGTACCTGGAATATACTAGCACCATAAGGTGTTCTCCATGCA